CTCATGACGTCATCATAATGGCCTCCGAACTCATAATTTTAATTTGCATATTATGACGTCAGCAGATTTTTGGAAAATTGATTGTATCTCTGTAAATATTGATCAATTTTCTTTCGAATTTTAATATGTTCTACCTGAGAATATTGTCTACAAATGCAGTTGTCACGATATTTCATTTTGACAAAGGCATCATGGCGTATTTTTGCGATTAAAGGAGGCATGTCAATTTTTCACATTTTGCGTGTATTCTCTATGGGATATGACTTTTTCTCAAAACTGGATTCCACATTCTCGTCTTTCGCGAGCAATATCTCCGTCGTTTAATCTTTGTTTATGCTGAGCTTTGAGTATGTTGTAGCTGAGACAATAAGCTATCACCAGTATAGCCTTTATTTTTCGATCAGATGCCGGGATCATGCTCATATTTCACTTGCAAAGTTGAATTTGCGAATTCCATTTTCCGTTTACGTGTAATCGCTATGGGAAGTGTTTTGGTATATCGGTAACGCACTTGACTTCCGACCTTGAGACCCCTGGTTCGAGACCGGGCGTCTTTACCAATATTTTTCTTCACTTTTTTTTCATTTTGACCTTTCACTGTGCAATCTCCTTTGAATTTTAAAACACGTAGTGTCGTATATTATATGTCCATAAATACGAAAGTAATACTGCTAGAAGTATACGCCATTATGCTCGTTGCTAAGCTTACTTTATTCTGCCGGAGAGGGCAGTATTTCACTGTTTCGTACAGACAAGTTTCTGATGGATATACATAGCAAATATCACATTACTACACCTCTCCCTTCTTTGAGATAGAGTTTCCTATAATGTTGGAGAAGGTGCATTAAAGGTACTATGTCCCATTTGCAGGCCAAAAAAAATGAAAAAGTTAAATTCCAACTGCATTTGAAAGATAATACTAATTTAGAACTTCCCTAAAAAAGGTGGGGCTTGAAAATGTCTTCAAGTGGGAAAATAACGACTATTAGTTGTCAAATCGACTTTAGGGCTATAGAGCCCAAAAGTAATAGTCTTGATTTTCAGACAATCGTACCGAATGGTCATACGTTTTATGCTGCGCAAAGATTCAATCAGTTTAATCTTGGCCATCACAAGAAGTGGGTTATTGATGTTGACAAATGCTCATGTACCCTTTACAACACTTTTCATGTATGTTATTACCAAAGAAGAAAAAAAGCCAGTCATTCACTCAATAGTGTCTGACAGTGAAGTCTAACAAGTAAACGGATTCCTTGCATAATTTGAATATGAGGACACTGCTAACGTTTAAATTTCACAGATAGGACATACATGACATATTCATAATTCCTGCAAAGTTCTACAGCATTTGAGGTTGGCTGCAAAAGGGACATAGTACCTTTAAGCCTGTTGAATACATACAGTATCGGCACATAATAGTATGTAACTGAATCGGTTTGGATATTAAAATCAAATCTAACAACCAAAATATATATGAGTGATTTGGCTATTTTCTTTTGAGAGTTGTTAGCACTTGTATTTGTGTAAAATCCTATACGAGGTTAGTTATATTTCAGATCAACTGAATGCAAACACAACAATAAAAGGACTGCTGTCTTAAACCTGACATTACAAAATCCTTGTCGAAATCATGAACTGCAAAATACTAGACAAAGTCAAATAGAACTTTCATAACACTAACAACCTTGAAAACACCTTATTGAGGTCTGCTAAACACCAAACTGAAACATTAGAGTATTGTGCAACATTTGGCACTTCAACATCATTTGCAACAAAGTTGTGCATATATGTGTACTTGCACAGCATGACAATAAAATAAATGTTATTAACCAAAATAAATAATTTCTGTTTTTGTACTTTTTCTTTTGGGAACTAATGATGCAAAGAACAGTCCAAGTTAAAAATACATTGTACCACACAAATATACAACAATAATGCTTCTGAACGACATTACTAATAAACACATCATGTTTGTACTTTCAGTGTACAGTAATTTCACATACATACATGTACGTACATTTATATCATTTTTTGTTTGTTTGTTTACAATATCTGTTTCGTTCGTGAAATATTAATCCTCTTTCCATCCTTATCCTCTCTCCCTTTTCAATGAACAATAATGACAAACATATCAAAATAATCATCATCATTCGAACAGTATCTCTATATAAAAAAATAGACTGTTGCATTATTGAACTCACAACTGAAAATTGCTTGGAAAAAGGATTTAGGAAAAAAACATTTCGTATCAAGTGATGGAGTGGAACTGATACATGGTAGATGCGAAGCAGTATGAAAAGATTACCGGTAAAGACAAACATCAGAATGACAAAATGCATAAACAACCATTGGGGGGGGGGGGGGTCAAACTAGCTACTGAGATGAAGGCATTAACAAAAACAAAACAATTATATATGTAGTATTTAACTGATCCATATTCATAATGCTCTTAAGTATTTATTATTATTTCATACTTCATTTTACTTCTACATTCCACATTATGTGTGTTTTCTTTTGTTTATTGTTTTAAAGTTTGATTATTTAATATTTAACATGAATACATAATATGTTTTTAACTTATTTATAATCTTGTTAAACTTCTTTTTGTTTTTACTTTATATATATAAATATGCAAACAGATTATGAGGATCATATATGTAACTTATTTAATTGTTTATCTTTTGGGTCTACCAATATAGTTCTAATTAAGTAAAGTGTTTTTAGCTTATTTCCTATTATTGTCGTGTTATGGTTGTGAATCTGTCAGTGTTATATTACTTTTGTTTATATGTCATGATTATGTTGTTTTTTATCGACACGGCCCTGATTGAAACCAGTCTGCGAACTGTTTCGGGCTTTTACCGTGTATAAATAAAATAAACTCAAACTCAATCCAAAACATGCATGTAACCAAAACACTATGGGTACTGTCAAAAGGGAGGAACCGAAATATAGTTCTATGGGACATAATATAGTCTGTCAAATATCGAGGCCGTTGCCGGGTACGAGAAGGGCGACTGGAGGGGGCAGGATGTCGGGAGTGAATGTTAGGGGCAGGGGGAACATCATAGTGATGTCCTGGAATGAGAATCCCATCCTCGTCGCCAAATGTTGTATCTTATATGTCCATACATACCCCGGAAAGGAATACTGCTAGAAGTTTATGCTCGTTGCTAAGCTTACTTTATTCTGCCGGAGAGGGCAGTATTTCACTGTTTTGTACAGACAAGTTTCTGATGGATATACATAGCAAATATCACATAACTACACATAGAATCGCAAATAATGTAATAAACAACCATATTTACTTTATTATTACCCTATTATCACTTGATCCATTACTTTTTGCCTGTAATCCCCATGGGAGATGACTTTTTCTCAAATCTGGATTCTACATTCCTGTCTTTTGCGAGCAATATCGCCGTTATTTCCGCCTGGTTTTTGTTGATTTTGGAGTACATATGTAGCTGAGACTATATGCTATCTAAATGTCCCCTCATTTTTTCAATCAGATGTCAGGATCACGCTCATGATCATCATCAATATCATCATCATCATTATCATGGTCTGATCATGATCATGATCATCAACATCATCACCATTAATTACTATCAAGATCATCATATCATCATTATCATTATGATCATTGTTTACATGTACATATCGTTATAATTTCTCTCTTTTTCTATATGGGAGATGACTTTTTCTCAAATCTGGATTCTACGTTCCTGTCTTTTGCGAGCAATATATCGCCGTTATTTCCGCCTGGTTTTTGTTGATTTTGGAGTACTATTATGTAGCTGAGACTATATGCTATCATGATGTCCCCTCATTTTTTCAATCAGATGTCAGAATCACGCTCATGATCATCATTATGATCATCATGATCATAATGATGATGATGATCATCATCATGGTCTGAAATCTGGATTCTAAATTCCGGTCTTTTGCGAGCAATAATAATCGCCGTTATTTCCGCTCGGTTTTTGTTGATTTTTTAGTATGTTGTAGCTGAGACTATATGCTATCTAACTGTCCCCCTCATTTTTCTAATCAGATGTCAGGATCACGCTCATGATCATCATCAATATTATCATCATCATCATCATCATCATCATCATGGTCTGATCATGATCATGATCATCAACATCATCACCATTAATTACTATCAAGATCATCATATCATCATCATCATCATTATGATTATTGTTTACATGTACATATCGTTATAATTTCTCTCTTTTTCTATATGGGAGATGACTTTTTCTCAAATCTGGATTCTACATTCCTGTCTTTTGAGAACAATATCGCCGTTATTTCCGCTTGTTTTTTAAAATATTTTTGAGCATGTTGTAGCTGAGACTATATGCTATCTAAATGTCCCCTCATTTTTTTCAATCAAATGTCAGGATCACGCCCATGATCATCATCATCAATATCATCATGATCATCTTCATCGTGATGGTCTGATGATCATCAACATCATCATTAACATTATCATTATCATCATCATCTAACATTATCATTACCATCACCTTCATGTTCATCATCATGATTGTCTATAACTTCTCCCTTTCTCTATATAGTAAATATTCAAATCTATTTATGCTAGTAGAGTGCCTCGATTGCATCTCTTTCTCTTTCTCCTCTCTCTTGCCATATTCCTCTTCTCCTCTCTTGTTCTGCCCCTCTCTCTTGCTTTGTTTCTGCATCCCCCCCCCTCTCTCTCTCTACTCTTCACCCTCTCCCTTCCTTTGTCTCACTCCTTCCTTGCCTCCCTCTTTCTCTCTTGCGATGTCTCGATCTATCTCCGCCCTTCTCTTTTGTTATACTCTCTCACCCTCTCCCTTTTCCGCCTCCGACTCTCGTTCTCCCTCTATTATGTCTTCCAGTGTTCCCCAATCTTCTTTAACTTTTCCTTCTAACCTTTGTATTCTTGTTTCACCCCTACCATGTACTATAGACAGAAACATGAAATGAAGTACATTAGTAAACAGGTCTATTCATTGTTAAATTCATGTTCAAAGCACTAAACAATTAAGCTTATCAAACCAAAGTCAAAGCTAAATTGCATAGACCTATCTACATGCATGTAAATGACATTCTGCACCAAATTTAACATCACGCTATTTCCTTGGCGATCTAAAAAAGAACTGCAATGCAATATTACAAATGGTAATCACCTATCATCTTCAAACACATTTAATTTTTTTTTTTTTTAAAACAGCATATCGAATTAAATTTGATATACCAAAATAAAAGCACATACTGAAAAGAGCAGCATTGTACAAATCTCTGAAAAGGGCATTTTAACATGTATATATATTCAACAGAAATGGAATACATATATAAAACAGGTACATAAACAAGATACCTACTGATTATATGAAAGGCCCCCTACATAGGAAGTGAGATATAAGTTCAGATAAACACAATAACAATAAAACTAAAAAACAATGTACATTATGGATAATCCCTAACAGCCCTATGTACCTCTTTGTTACAGCAAGCAAGACACTGCTATGTATAGTGAATGCAGTAGATATTGACAGTTGATCGTAAGGTACCACTATATATGGGGTAAATGTTGCAAATAAACTGACATTATAATCATAATCCAATATTGACTATTCACGAAACAAACTGGATATGTGACCTCTAATGACATAAAATTGTAGTGTACAAACATGTGCCATTGAAAATCATAATCGTGTAATATATGACAATATAACAAATTACAGTGAATTGTCTTTCGCTGACTAATAAGATCTGTTATCCTGATGTTAAAAAGAAGACAAACAGTAACTGTTATCAATGATATCCATCAGATTCTGTTTCATATATCAGCAACATCAACCAATATAAGAATTACGGTAATGCCAAGATAAGAAGAGTGACATGCATGTATAACTTCTTTTCCCAAGTGGCATGCATAAGATCTATCTTTACAATATATCACTCAAAATACTGTGTGAATACAAGGATTTACAAACTTACAGAAAAATAAACGTGTTAAATCCCCAAAATCTTGCAATGTATGTGCAAAGTTAAAACACAAATGTAATAAAATACATCATGAATGGCGCTTTGTTTCTGCATCCCCCCTCTCTCTCTCTCTCTCTCTCTACTATTCACCCTCTCTCTTCCTCTGTCTCAAATAAGATACAACTATAAAGGAATGAGAGCGTAAAAGGAATTGAACAATCAGAAACAAAAACTATCATATAAAAATACATGTAGTTACATGGAAGTGCACACAAAATCCCAAAATATCTTGTGTGGAACAAAGGTATATGTTTACATTGTCATACCAGTAAAAATAAGACTAAAATCACACAGAAACATGGTATCAGAAAATAAATGTAAGAATCATAGGTGGAAAAATGGACATGAACACACGTTAGTATGAATAAAGAAAAAAAAAGGATGCCGAGCCATACAGAGTGGCATTCAAAATGTCTTGGTCGAGATCGAGGCTACTTCTGCCACAATGCTGTTATGACAGAGCCGTAAACACTCCCCAAGGCCTAGTCTTTGCTGAACGAGGTATCACCGGAGGGCTGAAGTCCTGGGGTGATGTTACCGTTGTGTGTTGGACGATGAGGACAGCCTTCTGACTCGAGGGCGGTAGTTTGTTTGAACTGGTGAGCAAAGGGATATGGTGGTGCACTGTCATTGGTGACTAGGGTTGTAGAAGTGAGCTTTGCAACGTTGCGTTTTGCAGTCATCTGAAGAAGTTATCTGAAGAAGTGAAATTTTGAAAAATCATTTGAAGATTAGGAATATGAACAGTACTGAATTTTTCTTTCTTAAAAGTGTTAAACTTATTAATGAACGCATTTGACATAAAAAGTGATCTGTCTATGCAACCCCAATGTAACATTTTCAAAGCAAAAAGATATGTCATAGAATTGCCAATTTACTCCAGGTGTGCCAATTTTGTGGGAATCTAACAGTGTAGTGGCCGAGGTCAACCATCTATCCGGAGGAGCTTGAAATAACTCAGTACAGTAGGGTTAGGCTTTTACAAACATTTTAGTTTGGCAATCTTTCCTTACCCTGTATATGCTGGTGTTCCATACTTCTGCCACAATGCTGTTATGATGACAGAGCCGTAAACACCCCCCAAAGGCCTAGTCTTTGCTGAACCAGGTATCACCGGAGGGCTGAAGTCCTGGGGTGATGTTACCGCTGTGTGTTGGACGATGAGGACAGCCTTCTGACTCGAGGGCGGTAGTTTGTTTGAACTGGTGAGCAAAGGGATGTGCACTGTCATTGGTGACTAGGGTTGTAGAAGTTAGCTTTGCAATGTTGCGCTTTGCAGTCATCTGAAGAAGTTAACTGAAGAAGTGAATTTAAAAAAAATCATTTGAAGATTAGGAATATAAACAGTACTAAATGTTTCTTTTTTAAAAGTGTTAACATTATTAATGAAAGCATTTGACCTAAAAAGTATTCTGTCTATGCAACCCCAATGTAACATTTTCAAAGCAAAAAGATATGTCATAGAATTGCCAATTTACTCCAGGTGTGCCAATTTTGTGGGAATCAACAGTGTAGTGGCCGAGGTCAGCCATCTATCAGGAGGAGCTTGAAATAAACTCAGTACAGTAGGGTTAGGCTTTTACAAACATTTTAGTTTGGCAATCTTTCCTTACCCTGTATATGCTGGTGTTCCATACTTCTGCCACAATGCTGTTATGATGACAGCATGGGTGTCGATACTTACGTAATACCTATTCATCAGGGGGGGATGAATGAATAGATCATCCCCCCTGATGAATAGGTATCAGTTACGGATCGACACCCATGGATGACAGAGCCGTAAACACCCCCCAAAGGCCTAGTCTTTGCTGAACCAGGTATCACCGGAGGGCTGAAGTCCTGGGGTGATGTTACCGCTGTGTGTTGGACGATGAGGACAGCCTTCTGACTCGAGGGCGGTAGTTTGTTTGAACTGGTGAGCAAAAGGATATGGTGGTGCACTGTCATTGGTGACTAGGGTTGTAGAAGTGAGCTTTGCAATGTTGCGCTTTGCAGTCATCTGAAGAAGTTAACTGAAGAAGTAAAATAAAAAAAATCATTTAAAGATTAGGAATATAAACAGTACTAAATGTTTCTTTTTTAAAAGTGTTAACCTTATTAATGAACGCATTTGACCTAAAAAGTATTCTGTCTATGCAACCCCAATGTAACATTTTCAAAGCAAAAAGATATGTCATAGAATTGCCAATTTACTCCAGGTGTGCCAATTTTGTGGGAATCAATAGTGTAGTGGCCGAGGTCAGCCATCTATCAGGAGGAGCTTGAAATAACTATGTACAGTAGAGTTAGCCTTTTTCAAACATTTTAGTTTGGCAATCTTTCCTTACCCTGTAAAGGTCCCGATACATTACATGTATATGCTGGTGTTGCATACTTCTGCCACAATGCTGTTTTGGTGACAGAGCCGTAAACACTCCCCAAGGCCTAGTCTTCGCTGAACCAGGTATCACCGGAGGGCTGAAGTCCTGGGGTGATGTTACCGCTGTGTGTTGGACGATGAGGACAGCCTTCTGACTCGAGGGCGGTAGTTTGTTTCAACTGGTGAGCAAAGGAATATGGTGGTGCACTGTCATTGGTGACTAGGGTTGTAGAAGTGAGCTTTGCAACGTTGCGCTTTGCAGTCTATTGAAGAAGTTATCTGAAGAAGTGAAATAAAAAAAATCATTTGAAGATTAGGAATATAAACAGTACTAAATGTTTCTTTTTTAAAAGTGTTAACCTTACTAATGAACGCATTTGACATAAAAAGTATTCTGTTTATGCAACCCCAATGTAACATTTCAAAGCAAAAAGTTATGTCATAGAATTGCCAAATTACTCCAGGTGTAAAGGGCCTCCTTCCTTTTTTTCGAAAAAACAGGACGCTAAACATGTTTTATTTTTTTATTTGGCCTTTACAATAAATATCAAAAAGCAATCTTAACAGCTTCGTGGTAACTATAATATGTAGGGATGACCTCTGTTTCCAATAAATCTAGTCCTTTGCTGTACACATGATCTATCATTGTTCCCTTCTCAGTAGTAGCATTTACAACATGCTGTTTGTAACCTTTATTACACATCAGCTTGTTTACCTGTGAAGAACCTTTAAACAAATCCTCATTAAAATCTCCCATCACAATACACCTAATGCTTCTTTTGTGTAATGCATTTAGCAAATTGTCTAATGATTCACAGAATGATTTGATACTATATGATGGAGGTCGATAAACAACTGAAATCACAACAGAAACTGGTTTGGTGACAAGAATTGCGATAAACTCTAAGTTGTCGACAGATATGTCTAATCTACTTGAATATGTATTCTTGATATACATTCCAACACCTCCATGCGATTGTTCTTTGAGTACATTTCCAACTCCAGAATTACAGTATGAAAGATGTCGTGGCTGATGATAAAATCGAAAGTTATCTAAAACAACGTCACAGAGATCATTATCATTAATCCATGTTTCGGTCAAGCAAATAAAATCTACATTCACAAATTGGCACTGGGATTTGAAATCGTTAAAATGCTGTTTTAATCCTTGTACATTTTGCATTACCAAAGAAAAGTTATAATCGTGAATATCTTCCGAAGTTTCATTCTTGATAAACGGCTTCATAATCTCAATGCGTTCTTTAATTTCTGGATTACAATATATACGTTTAGGATCGAAATGTTCTATCACAAGTCCAGATAACGAAGTAACGCGACTAAGCCCAACATATGCCTGTCCAGATTGAAATACACTTTTTAATGATACAACAGCTTTGTCTAATGTTGAACCTTGTACTTTATGAATTGTGCAAGCATAAGCAAGCTTAAGTGGAAATTGTTTTCTCACATATTTCTTACCAATGGATTCTTGAGACATTTCGATTGAATGAATACCCACATCGGCCTTCTCAAAATTAACTTTGATGCAAACTGGATTCAAATTTGTATGATCCGTTATTATTTCTGTTACATTTCCAAAACATCCATTTGTCAGGCCTTTACTAACATCAATGTTCTTGAGCAACATCACTCTAGCATTAACTGCAATCCACAGATAAGAAGGCAACTGGGTTTTCATCTTTGTATAAGGTTTTTCCCGTATTTGATTTCCCTTTTTAACATCTTTGTCCATGTCTTGTGCTTTTACGCATATCACATCTCCACATTTTGTATGCAATAATTTCTTGTTCCAAGCATCTACTTCCTTGTTACATGCATAGATATGCAGAGCATTTTCACATTCTTCACCAGTCTCACAGGACTTGAGCATTGCTAGGTCTTCATCACAGAGAATCTCTTCCCCTTGTTTTACACGTAATCTATTTAAGAGAAGAGCGAATTGGGTATCGTCTTTTTGTCTCATAATGTCTTCAAGTTCTACTTTCTTGAAATTAGCATTCCACAATGCACCATTGAGTGTGTCTTTATATAAAGGAGTTCCTAAGACTGGAGGTAACTGATACATGTCTCCCACAGCAATAACTGAAACACCAGCAAAAGCAGTTTGATCGCGTGATTGTTTTATTTGTCGTAGGCGGCCGTGAATGTAAGACATTAACTTTTGATCTACCATTGATACTTCATCTATGATTAAAATTTGCAATTCAGCCAGCTTATTTCGAAGGACACTTATTTTCTCATCACTCAGCGGTTGATACAGTACTTGTGCATTGATTGGAATAGAAAGAATACTATGTATAGTATGGCCATTGATATTGTATGCAGCTACTCCGGTTGGAGCCATTTTCAATACTGAGACATCATCAGGATGTGGCAACATTCGGGCTAGTATACGTGTTGCTTCATAGTAAAGACATTTGATCAAATGACTCTTTCCAGTGCCAGCACCTCCAGTTAGAAACATATGAAACGGTTCGACCGATTTTCCATTTACTCTATCTAAACACCACTGTCGTATTTTGTAAAAAACACTCTGTTGCTTCTCATTCAAAGACCTCATCAAAGAATGTCCATCTTGTTTGGAAATTTTTACAGAACGTAGTTCGATGCTATAGTCATCTTTTTTCGCTTCATTCTTTAAATCAGGGATATCAAGATCTCCATCACAATCTTCGACATCTACATTTTCTTTGGGATGTTCAAGTCGCTCTACTTCCTTTTCCGGACATAAAAGACCCCATGCATCTTCGTATGGACCAAATTTGTCAAGATGCTCCTGTGCATAATCAATTGCATCGGCATTCATTTCAAACTTCTTTCGGTTAGTACAGACAATTGACCAGACTTTCTCCAATTCACGTCCACATATTTTCACAGAACCTGTCTCGTAGAACTCTTCATGTGTTTCAAATGTTGGGGGCTTTAATTGTCCATCTTCAAAATATGGCAGAAAGAGTTGCAAAATGCTCAAATAATATTTTTCTGGTGAGATGATGGGTGAAAATCGGGGATACCTTACAACTGCATCTTCCGTACGAGTACGCTTCTGAATATACCCCAGATCGTTATCTAATTTAAAGACATTTTTACTTCTTGTACTTGGCGTTTGGGATGCAGTTAAGATTCTGTACTGAGAACAAAACGTTGCAAGACACATATCACTGAATTCTGTGTTTCTAGGTCGAGCTTTGTATCTGTCAAGCTTGCTAGGCATCCAAACATTCTCATCATCATCATTATCGTTATCTGGTCTGCTTTTTATAACGCTTAATGGTAAACTCATTCTGACAGGGTTGGGTCCAACAGGAATAAATTCCACTTTCCTAGAACATTCTTTCAATCTGAGACTGCAAACACGATAGACGCTTTCTTGAGCAGACACTTCACGATTTTGCATGTACACCTGGCCAAGTTTTTTCATGCTTTCCTTTGCGTTATCATTTCCCTCTTTCATTTCTGATAGTGTATGACTCAATAGCAATCCGATTTCTCGTTCAGCTTTTGACATGTAGGATACAATATAAGCCACGCATGCAAATACATTTGTTACGAACTGCAAATCCATGTTGGCATTCCAGCTTCTTAGTAGACTTGGATTAAACTGATTTACCCATACATCTTGTATTTCTCTTTTGATGATTATACTTTGTTGTGATGCTAATTCATTATGTGCATTCTCAAATTGATTTTGTGTAATGCCAAGCTTTTCAAAGAGATGGTTTACACTGTTGTACTCGATTCCATTGGATAATGCATCTTTAACTGAATTCAACAATTTCTCTGCATCATCTTTAGTCTTTTCAGAAGCTTTAACTTGATCATTGTCATTTTCCTTATTTTGCACTTTCCCACAATCTTTAGCTGGAATCTCTTCAACGGGTGTTACAATGAATGTTTTTCCAGATGGTGGTCTCGGAAAATTAAATCTACACGCCTTCCCTGTTTTTGTGCAAGATTTAGAATGTTTCTTACTGTGTTGTTGGACCTTGCTTACTATTTCATGTAGTTCTTGATCTTCCTTTTCATCTGGTTTCTGGCAACAAATGTATTTATCTACGAATTGTACGACATCATCATCATTATCGATACCCAACTGTGGAGCATTTTGAACCCAGAACAAGGCATGAATGTGAGGGGAACCACGAGCTTGATACTCTACTCTCCAAAATGAATCAACTACTTTACCAATCGGTGCAGCGGGAGATAAAATAACTTTCTTCATAAAAGTGTGAAATCTTTTATCAAACATTCTGGCAACTGTTACTGGATTTGATCTTAAAAGATTACATTTTTCTGTATAGTCTAATTCACTTGATTCCCTGGTGTCTCCTTTTTGTCTAAGCAATGTATTCATTAATTCTGGCCATCTCATATCGGCAGATGAAAAAGAAGCAAACCATGTGGGCTTTCCAAGCTGTCTTACCATTGCGAGAACATCTTTTTGTGTCTTTTGCCAGAATGGAGGTGTTCCACGAATTTGCTTTAAAAATTTATAGCCCTTGTCTGATTTTAGTATTTTTTTAACTTTCTCTGCATCTTTCAAATCTGAGGCAGTTATTGAAGACGAATCATCTTTTTTGTTTGGACTTTGCCTTAATGCGATAGAAACTTGTGATATAACCTGTTGAATTTCATAAATATATTGTGCATAAAAGATGTAATCTGTATTCTGAGCAAATCTGTTGTCCACGTGCATCAATCGGTTGTGCAGATAACGTCCCAATGTTATTTTTTCATCTCTTCTATCATGGAATGTTGGTTGACCTTTAGGAAATAATACTGGGAAACATTTGGCCTCATTGCTTTCATCTTGTAGAATTGATACAGGGCTTCTTCCTTCACAAGGAGCACAACATATTATGTCTTCAAAATACTGATCTAATATTTCCTGTCCAATATCTACTGGCTGGAGACACGAGTCTAACTGAATACCGCGTAAGCGTTCTTCCATATCGTCTTCAGTGTTGTTGTCATCTATTTTTTGTTGTAGTTTACTGCTGCCCTGCATGTTTTCATTAGCATTTTTGTCTTTGGACAAAATGTAATCGATTTGTTCTTCCATTTCCTTCCAATATTTTGCTAAACGAGCTTTACCACCGATTTCCACTGCTTCTTCCTTTTCATTATCTTTTTCATTTCGTTCAAGTGAGTTTTCCCATTTATCATTTACTGTAACATCAAAATACCACTTATTATTTGCTTTTAAATACTGCAGAGCATTAAGCAAGTTAGATTTATCTACAAATTTGTACTCATAATAGCTTTTGTACGACAATTTTCGTTTGAGTTTAACACGGATCAATTGATCTTCAGTCTGTGGTCTTGGCAACATATCTACTGTTTCATAAGTGTTTGAAGGCACGCACACGACTGGGCCATGGACTCCATTTTGACCACCTTTAGGCAAGGCCATTAACTTCATGAAAGGGATATTCAATGCAATCAAATGCTGTTCTAAATTGTTCAGATTGGCAAGTTCTTTTGGAACTTCATGTAGTTGTAAATTGTTCATATTTGCTTCTGCAGGTACTTTTCCAGCTTGCAATTTTCTATGACAGGTGAAGCATATCCATAGTGACGATCTGGCTGACTGGCCTATTAAACATTTTGACCGGCATTCTGAATTGCAAACATGCAAATATTCTTCACTTATGCACGTCTGAATTTTATAATTACTCTTTTTACATTTCAATACTTGGTTCTCAAAGAGAAGTTTTAAGCATACACAGCACACATATTCTGGGCCATGAGAAATTATCTTTCTAAATTCTTCAAGTACAATATCAAACTCGGACAATTTTACTGTTCGAAGTACAGACCTTTTTTGATTTTGTTTTATTACATTTTGCCTATATTTTTCAATTCTTTTATATTTCATTTTTAAGCTCATCAATTTCTTTTCCTTAAATTCTTTGCTTTTATATCTAATTTTGGACAATGTTTTCATATTTGCCTTTTTTGTATGTTTAAATTTTTGATCGTTGCGATATAATTTCTTCATTTGTTTTTTCATGATATCTTGTTGTTTTTCCTTAAAATTTTCATCGTTGCGATATAATTCCTTTATTCGTTTTTTCATGATATCTTGTTGTTTTTTCTTAAAATTTTCATTGTTGCGATATAATTCCTTTATTCGTTTTTTCATGATATCTTGTTGTTTTTTCTTAAAATTTTCATCGTTGCGATATAATTCCTTTATTCGTTTTTTCATGATATCTTGTTTTTTTTTCTTAAAATTTTCATCATTGCGATATAATTCCTTTATTCGTTTTTTCATGATATCTTGTTGTTTTTTCTTAAAATTTTCATTATTGCGATATAATTCCTTTATTCGTTTTTTCATGATATCTTGTTGTTTTTTCTTAAAATTTTCATCATTACGATATAATTCCTTTATTCGTTTTTTCATGATATCTTGTTGTTTTTTCTTAAAATGTTCGTTGTTCAAATATTTACTTCTTAATTTGCTTTTATGCATTCGTTTAAATAGTTCATCGTTCCAATATCTATTTTTCATTTTAATCCTCATTGCTGTTTTAACATTTTCTTTGAATCCTTCATTTCTCAAATATTTTTGTTTATTTCCATACAAAATTTTCTTTTTATAACGTGAATCAAAATGATATTTGGTTTTCATAATATTAAGCTGTATGTTCCTGAAATTTGAATCTTCTTCATACATTTCTTTTTGCCTTTTTTTACTTCATTTATTTTTTCTATTTTGTAGGTTAAATCATTTTGATATTTATTTTTTTTAATAATTTTTTTCATTTGCGCATTGTGAATACACTTTTCCTTTTTCTTAATGATTTTATCTTTGGTCAAGGCTCGTTTTTCTCTCATTCGCTGTCTACTGCGCTTTTTTTTTTGATCAGAACTTTGTCTGTGTTTACGTTTTTTCTTTCCACGGTCAACATTTCTAAAATGAACTTCTCCAATTATTGTTAATTCGTCATTACTATCAGCACATTCGCTTGCATCCATTCTTAAGCTGTCGTTCTCATTCATTTTCACCAATTTGGTTTTTCGAATTTCCTTGCCAAGGTCAACATCAAATTTCGCATCACTTTCGAGGTAACTCCACTTTCGTTTTCTGCTTAAGATAGAGTTGGAATTTTGAACTTTGTTCACTAAATTCAATTTATCAGAGTCATTTCCCTGTTTAGTACAATTTTTGGAGTCTCCCTTTTGTTCATTTTCATATTCTGCTTTTATAGAGTCATTTCCTTTCAGAAGACAACTATTATTCAGCTGTGGTTCTTTTAGTTTGGTTAAGGTAATTGTCACACTCTTCAGTTTTAATTCCTGACCGTTATAATGTACATCATGAATGATCGTTTCATTTGCTTCTTCAGGGAAGAGAAATACATTTGGGTTATCAATCATCTTTTGAGGGGAAACACTCTCATCCAATATTTGAACTTCATCAAAGCTTTCACAATGTATGGAACATCCAGAGCTTCCAGACTGACTTTCACTGTGCGTATTTGACGAAGGAATTGGATTACAAACAAAATCCTGTAACTGTGGATAGCCTTTCAAGGTTTCATTCTTACCGGAAGTTGCTTTAGCACATACACTAGTTACTTCATATTCGGTGTGCAGGGGGCATCCCATTGATTTTGCTAACCTCATGCAATGCTTGTACACACCTTGCCAGCTTTGAGTACGAAGTACAACACTGTGTCCGTTACAAATCAGGAAACCTCGACTGCTTCTGGAATGTGAATCAAATATAAAAAAACCATCTTGACCAGATAATACAATGAAAGTACTTCTAGCAAATGTCACAAAACATGCATCAGAATCAGTACAGAGTTCTTTTTCAAGTGCTTGCTTCAATGTCATCGAAAGAGACTGGGCCAATATCAATTCATCTCCATCTAACAATCCAGTGACTGGTTCACGGCATACTATGTTAAACAATTCATTGTACGCATCCAAATATTCAAATAGATCAGATATCAATAAGTATTGGTTGTCGAGTGAAGTGGATCGCCGTATGTAACAGTATAATTCATTACCGTTATTCAAAATCCTGTCTAGATCTGTACTTTTCCAATCATTGGCATTTTTTACCTTGCTATACAACAGTGCAGATAGTGAATTGGTAACACACTGCTTTCCACTTAAGTCACCAAATCTTGTATCACCTTGATTGAATGTCCCTTGGGCAACAAGCGTTATTTGTGTATCGACTCTCGTGCATTTGTCTTTGTGATCACTTTCAAGGGTTTCATCCTTGGTGTTACGTTCGTTGTGAACGACTGATTCAGACTGATTACTTGCACACTGTTCATATGTCATGTCAAAAAGATTTGCAGTACCTTTTCTCTCATCGTGATTTATCGTACCAGTTTCCAACGTGAGCCTACGTTTTTTTCCCTTTGGATCAACATGGTTTTGACATGTTTCAGGAGACTTATCCACTACTTCATCAATTTCTTCCTCTATCTGACACTGTGATCTACACTTCTTGAACACATGCTTTACTTTAACATCAGCCTGAATTGATGGACATGGCAAAGTTCTCTTTGACGTTATATCTTCTTTAGTTGTTCTTGTCTGTTCTAATGAATTGAAATTGACAAAATCTACAGATTCAACAACATTAAAATGAACATTTCCCGTGTACAGTATATAAATTCCCTTATCAGATGTAACAATATTGATTCTTCCAGGTTTCTTTGCAGAGTACAATTGCCAACATGGTACTTGGTCATTGTATGAATAAATATCAGTATCGATTAAATTTGCTAAAGCGCTAATTTCAGTGTCTGTAGCCCACGTTCCGTCTTCCTTTATTCTACGTTTCAAAACATATTCTCTGACTGTTCTATATTCTTGCCTCAATGTATTACTAAACATGTCCTTGGTTTGCAATAAATGTTTCACAGTGGCATTTCTTAGAATTGCATGATTACGCTCAGTTCCAGAAATTACATAGGAAATTGCACGAAAGAAACAATTGCCATCACCAGTAATTTGTTTACTCTGTAAAGGAACTCCAATAGAGCTATTTCTATCTAACCTTGAATCACAGCCTTTGCCTTTATATCTGATATTCAGTTTTGAACAAATGTTCTGTTTGTCATTATTCTGGAGGGGTACAAATTTGAAATCTTTATCTGGTCTATCACGTAATCCAAGATCTGCTACAAATTCAACTTCTGTTTCTGTTTCATCAGTACATGTGTACATATTAGCATCTATTGCCTTTTCAATGTCTTCATCTTTGATATTTGAATCTGAAGAAGATTCTAAAGGATTCCTTGAATGAGCATGATCCTTAAATGACATACCAGTATCATTGTCTGTACCATCTTTTACTGTATCAAAACTTTTATTCTTCAGGTCATTGTCAAACACTGCATCTTCTGGTACACCATCTGAAACATATGAAAAATCATTTTTCATCATATCATCATTTTCCAATACCAATTCACAGACACTGTCTACTGGTTCATTTCTGGGCATATCAATTGGTCTATCACAAACATTGAAAGGCATATTGCGTTCTGGTAAAACACTTCTATCGAATAAATCACATCCAGGACTTGTGTCTGTATCACTATCAGATTCTATACATTTTCTTGCACACGAACGTTTCACTGGTATATGAACATCACTGCCACTATCATCGTCTGTTTCAATTTCCCTATTTTCATCAAAATTTGATTTCAACAGATTATTCTTTGAATCGTCCTGCACAACTCCATCTGAACCTTTGTTGTCTTTCATATTGCAAATATGCTGGTCTGAGTGTTCATCATTTTTACATGTATTTGGATCAAGTCCTTTGTCACTTGCATTCATAGATTTCTTTGTATCCAGCTTCTCATTCTTTACTGCTAATTCTATTCCTTCATCTTTGTCAAATCTAATCTCTGATTTATCACAAGAGTGATTTCCATCAGTGCCTTTTTTCCCGGCTTTGGAAGACTGACCTTTCATGTTCCTTTTTCGACCTCTTCCTCTTTTACCTCCTGCGTAGACTCTGTATCGTCTCAAATCCTGCATCTTTTCCAGAATGTTGCAAGTTCTTTGGTTAGAGCGTTGATCAGAATCTGGTTTTGACAATGGAGACAAACTAGCAGTTACGTCAGCGTATGATTGATTTTGCATTCTTTCCATTTCTTCACAGGCTTCATTGTAAACCTTCATAGAATGTAGAGATTGCACACTGCAAGCATAAATGCTCAATAGATTTTCTGCATAGGATTGCACACTGACATCTTCTTCTTCATTTTTCATTTTCTGCTTCACCTTACACTCTCTTTTGTGTACTGTGTTTTTTCTCTTACGACTCCCATAAAATGTCTTGAATGCTTTGCCAATGTAGGTAACACCTGGTTCCAACAATACACCATGAATTGATCTTTTCTGCCTTTTGTCCTGTTCATTTTCTTCTTTTGAATTTGAATGCAATCTTTCTTCTCTTTTTCTTGCCATCAGTTTTGCTCTCTTGCATTTCACTTTCACCCACTTATCGTCAACTTCTTCATTGAGCAAGTTTTGATCTATGAAATGAGACAGATTGTCTGTTACACCATTTTCATATCTGCTACATGGCTCTGCAAACAGCGTGCTCCTTTTTACTTTAACATACCTCTTCTTTGATGTCCTTACTCGTCTTGTCTGTTTGAAGATCTCCATGTTCTCATCGTCATTGTCATCATCATCATCTGCTGACATGAGAGGCTCATATCTGTTATAATGAGATGGAATACATACTTTGTCAAATATTCGATCGCCAATATTGCTATGACCACAGCATGAGCAAATCCAAATCAATCTCTGGTCAGCAAGTTTGTCATTGTTCAAGTATTCCTCACATGTCACATGGAAATGGTTGGTACAAGACTCGCATGTTACATAGTTGTCACTTTTATTGATCTTATCCATGCAATAACATTCATCAACATCTGTGTTGATCATCGATGTGTAACTGGAAAGCATGCTTAGAATCTCATGAACAATAGAGCTGAATTGAGTTGCAGCCATTTTCAATCTCTTTATCGCAATAGGCATAAAATGCACAATATTAAAAGTTTACAGTCTAATTAGTAATATTCAAATAAATGCCTTGATGTGTTTTGGATGTACAAGAAGGTAATACTTTTAAAGATTTCACGTACGAATCTTTGTATCTATTCTGCAATATATCTCTTCAAAGTGCAATACTTTATTAAAAACTTTTAGTTCCCTGACAATTTTTAAAATCTGTTTGTCAATGAAGCAGACTCGCAAGTGGACTCTGTCACTCTCGATGCAAAATTGTTTATCCCCTTTTCACACTTAAGGGTTTATTATAATGTTATTTTCCTTGTAATGAAAGTCACTTAATACAAACACTGAATATCTTATCAAAATTTCCTTCAACTCTCTTCTTTATCAACAAACTTTAGTTAATTACTTGAATATTAGTTATATTAACACGTTTCCTACTCTCTATGAAACTACTTAAGCTTATATGTTTTTCCTAAACCTTGTTCTCTTACTCAATTTTTCTACTTTTGTTATTTATCAAGCTCACTTTAAAAAAAAGAAAAGAAAATCTGTGATCAAATATTTTCTTTCCAACCACTCAAGCCCACTTGTATTTTTCTACCTTGATCTCTTTAATAATTTCCTTATTCTTTTTATTTATCACGCTCCCTTCTTTTCTCCAAAACTCTGTAAATGATAAAATACCTTCTCTGCAACTTCTCAAGCCCACTTGTATTTCTGAACCTTATTCTCTTCAATTTTCCTCACCCTTTTTTTCGTTTTTTTTAATATGTTCAACTTATCAAAGACACCTCCTTTTCTCTAAACTCTGTAAGTTCTGGACTTTATTCTCTTACTTCAACTTTTCTCACGCTTTTGTAATTAATCGAGCTTACCTCTTTCTTAAATTAAAAAAAAAAAGTGTCATCAAATATCCTCTATCAAAGTTCTTAAGCCCACTTTATTTCTCAATCTTGTTCTCTGGCTTTAATTTTCCTCACGAATATGTAATTTACCAAGTTCCGGTCTTTTTATTCTAAAAACTCTCTAATCAAATATTTTCTTTCCAACCACCTAAGCTCACTTGTATTTACGTTTCCTCTTACTTCAATTTTCCTCAATCTTTTTGTAATTTATCAGGGATTTTTTAAACAAAATCTGTGAATGATCAAATACCCTCTCTGCAACTACTCAAGCCCACTTGTATCTCTGCACTTAATTCTCTTCAATTCTCCACACTTGACTTCAGTATGTATAATTTATCAGTCACTTCCTTTTTTTTTTCTAACTCTATAAACTTTTGAACCTTACTCTCTTCAATCGTCCTCACTCTTTGTAATTTAAAGCTTACTCCTTTCTTTAAAAAAACCTCTCTGTAATAAAATATGCTCTTTCAAACTACTCAAAATTACTTGTTCTCTTGACTTCAATTTTACTCACTCTCTTTGTAATTTTTCAAACTCACTGCTTTTTCTTTTAACTTAAAAACCTCTGTAATCAAATATCTTCTATCCAACTACTCTAGTTCACTTGTATTTCTAAACCTTCTTTTCTTTCTTCAATTTTCCCCACTCCTTTTTCAATTTTACCACGCTTACTTCCTTTTGAAAAAAATCTGTAAACGATCAAATATCCTGCTTTTCTTCTGATTAATTAATCTTATCACTGGTTAATGAATTTCCAATACGCTCACCCAAAGTTCTTTGTAAGCAAACACACTTTATTGTATCCCTACAACTGAAAATATCCCAAGTTTGTTTCCCACTTTTTGCAAACTTGCCTTTTATTTCTCAAAACTGTAATTTGATAAATTGTATTTATTCCTATCAAGCCTGTTTGTTTTTCTAACACACTGTCCCTGTTATTGCTTATTTATCCACGAGTCTCACCTGGTTCCTGTTATTGCTTATTTATCCAGGAGTCTCACCTGGTTCCTGTTATTGCTTATATATCCAGGAGTTTCACCTGCTTCCTGTTATTGATTATATATCCAGGAGTTTCACCTGGTTCCTGTTATTGATTATATATCCAGGAGTCTCACCTGGTTCCTGTTTTCTTTTTCAGTAATTTCTTTTCTTTTTCAGTAATTTCTTTTCTTTTTCAGTTATTTCTTCTGTGGATTCTTTATACAACTCTACCACGGTCTCCCGTGGGTGAAATGTGATGAAATGGATAAAGACGCACACCCTTCTTGAGTGTGGGACACTCTCTTCTGAGAGCAGGATCTCTTCTGAGATTAGGAAAAGAGGTGAGATGAAGGTTCTTTGGTTCAAATGTATACAATGAAAAGATGTCAACATAAAACAATTACTTTTCCTGAAAAGATCAAATTTCCAGGAGACAAACACAAACACATAAGTGACAGCCAGACACCTGTAACGAGAGGGAGTAAATATTAAAAGGTTTGTTAAAATGAAAAGGAGCATCATCCATCTTTCAGAAGGCAAAAATTTTAACGTTTGTGAGGTAAGATTATGCTACAATACATATATATATATATATACAGATATTAATCATTTTTATCCACAAAATGTACATAAATTCGTTATTTTGGGACACTATACATGATTCCTATAAAATAACATGCTCATTTACATGTTGAGACCCCTACCTCCACCCCCCCCCCCTTCCATTTTACAACACCCTGCAATTCTGGTTTTCCTACAAAGTGCATCAAAAGCTTCCTACTGTCATCACTATTGCTTGAACAGGGAGAAAAAGAAAAAAGATTGTAAAGCTCAAAGCCATTTTAAACAATTTAAAACCCTGTTCTCATAACAGGGATACCAGTCAATGCCTTTTCTACATACTTCTCAACTTTACAGGGAGTTTTGTTGAGAAAGACTGCAATTTTATAGGCCTCTACTGCTCTAGATCTACCGTACATGAAATACCTGAAATTTAACATTATTTCATCATTTTGACACAGATTTTTAATATATATTTGTCTTTGTGTTGCAGTTGGGAAGATTTTGGTCATTGCTTGTCTTCTTTAATTTCAATCACGTAGATTTAACATATGCGCAGACATATGGAAGCATGACTGAGACCGTCAAAAACACAGAATTACGTCATGTCGTAATTCAATTTGGTACATGTCATGAATTAATTACGACATGTAACAATTCGAATTACGACATGACATGAATCTGATCAATGTCAGGTCACTCAATCTGTCATCATAACATAAGGGAATCCCATACATGTCACATGAAAATGCTGAGTGACTCACTGGCTTTTTTCTTCTTTGGTAATAACATACATGTACATAAAATGAGCTGTAAAGGGTATATGAGCATTTGTCAACATCAATATCCTACTTCTGCTTGTAATGGCCAAAATTAAACTGATTGAATCTTTGCGCAGCATAAAATGTACGACCATTCGGTACAATGGTCTGAAAATAAGACCATTACTTACTGGCTCTATAGTTCTTAAGTCGATTCGACAACTAATAGTCGTTATTTTCCAACTTAAAGACATTTTCAAGCCCCCCTTTTTTTAGGGAAGTTCTAAATTAGTATTATCTTTCAAATGCCGTTGGAATGTAACCTTCTCATTTTGTTGGCCTGCAAATGGGACATAGTACCTTTAAAGGTAAAGACCAGTTTGGGTCATGCGATTGCATTGGGACGCTAAACATGTAAAAAAAAATTAATGGCCTAACTCAAATCTTTTGGGACCCATAAAATAGCTTTGACTTAGACAAATTTTGATTTAGGAGGGTTATAAAATAATGGGACAAAACAGGATGGGCTACGTGTAGACGTTCAACCATAGCAATTTTTGACTTATCCAAGTTCGACTTAGGCAAGGTCACCTGTACTATATGTTTTGCATTGGACTAAAATCAAAATACATCTATACGTTTGCACTAGGTGTTCAATAAAAAAAACTTTTTCTTCTTTATCAACTCCTTACATAATTCACTATGGATTCTCTTCAAATTTTGGCAACACCCAATGGAAGAGTATTGAGAATTGTCCACAAAATTATGTTACATACCTACGGAAGTGTCAAAAATGTTATATAGAAATTTCATTAAGCCATAGCTTTCCTATTCCGCGTTCAATTATGTTCCCAATTATGCAGATCTGTTTCATTCCATTGTAGCTTTAATTTAAAAACTACTTGACTTCAGCCTTCTTAAGCAGATCAACTTACTCTCTGCAACTCTCTGCAACTCTCTGCAACTCTTAAAAACAGTCAATAACCTGAAAGAAAAAAAGAAAAGAAACTAGATGGAATTCGACTGCGCGCAGTCGAAAATGATGCCTCCGTTATAGAGCAATTTTACAAACCAAAACAGAAAAAAAAAATGAATTCACGTTCAATGGTAATCCATTGACAGGTTCTCAGAATATTGTGATTACAAGCAATTTCTCATATACATATATGACCCTTGATCTTTGACGTCATGACCATAAAATCTACGCAGTTCATTGGCTCTGCAAGATGTTCTGAGTTAAATAGTAATCCATCTGTCAGTTCTAATGAGAATGCGTTCACAAGCTATTTTTGCATACATAATGGGCCCATGACCTTTGACCTTTGACCTTATGAACCAAGAATCTACTCAGTTCATTGGCTCTGAAAGTAACAAACATGACCTAATTTTGGCATGAATCCATCAATCGGTTCTTGAGATAACGCGATCACAAGCTGTTTTTGCATTCATAATGTGCGCTGTGGCCTTTGACCTTTGACCTACGTGCTCCAAAATCTAATCAGATTGTCTTCCTATGGTGATACACACTATCATTAAGTTTAAAGTTTAAATCTCCAGTGGTTCTTGAGATATTATGATAACAATCTCAATGTATGGAATTTCATAAGTTGACCTCTGTGAACCTGTGACCTTTGACCTACGTGCTCCAAAATCTAATCAGATCGTCTTCCTATGGTGATACATACTATCCTTAAGTTTGAAGTTTTTACATCTCCAGTGGTTCTTGAGATATCATGATAACAATCTCAATGTATGGAATTTCATAAGTTGACCTCTGTGACCCTTGACCTTTGACATACGTGCTCCAAAATCTAATCAGATTGTTTTCCTATAGTGATACACACTATCACTAAGTTTGAAGTTTAAATCTCCAGTGGTTCTTGAGATATCATGATAACAATCTCAATGTATGGAATTTCATAAGTTGACCTCTGTGACCCTTGACCTTTGACATACGTGCTCCAAAATCTAATCAGATCGTCTTCCTATGGTGATACATACTATCCTTAAGTTTGAAGTTTAAATCTCAAATGGTTCTTGAGATATCGCGCTAACAAACTCAATACAAGGAATTTCATAAGTTGACCTCTGTGACCTGTGACCTTTGACCTAGGTACTCCAAAATCTAATCAGATCGTCTTCCTATGGTGATAAATACTATTCCCGAGTCTTAAGTTTAAATCTTAAATGGTTCTTGAGATATTGTGATAACGGTCAAACGGGACGGACGTACGGACGGACGGACGGACGGATGTACGGACGGACAACCCGAAAACATGATGCCTCCGGCACCACCTTCGGTGGCGGAGGCATAAAAAACAATTGCATTTCATAAAATACCAATATGAATATATTACACAAATAAATACAAATAGTGAGCCCTCATCCAATGCTAAAAGATACTATGTCCCTTTTGCAGCCAACATCAAATGCTGTAGAACTTTGCAGGAATTATGAATATGTCATGTATGTCCTATCTGTGAAATTTAAACATTAGCAGTGTCCTAATATGCAAATTATGCAAAGAAACCCATTTACTTGCTAGACTAGCTTCACTGTCAGACACTATTGAGTGACTCACTGGCTTTTTTCTTCTTTGGTAATAATATACATGTACATACAATGAGCTGTAAAGGGTATATGAGCATTTGTCAACATCAATATCCCACTTTTGCTTGTAATGGCCAAAATTAAACTGATTGAATCTTTGCGCAGCATAAAATGTACGACCATTGTACAATGGTCTGAAAATAAGACCATTACTTACTGGCTCTATAGTTCTTAAGTCGATTCGACTACTAATAGTCGTTATTTTCCAACTTAAAGACATTTTCAAGCCCCTCTTTTTTTAGGGAAGTTCTAAATTAGTATTATCTTTCAATTGCTGTTGGAATGTAACCTTCTCATTTTGTTGGCCTGCAAATGGGACATAGTACCTTTAAAGGTAAAGACCAGTTTTGGTCATGCGATTGCATTGGGATGCTAAACATGTAAAAAAAAAATAATGGCCTAACTCAAATCTTTTTGGACCCATAAAATAGCTTTGACTTAGACAAATTTTGATTTAGGAGGGTTATAAAATAATGGGACAAAACAGGATGGGCTACGTGTAGACGTTCAACCATAGCAATTTTTGACTTATCCAAGTTCGACTTAGGCAAGGTCACCTGTACTATATGTTTTGCATTGGACTAAAATCAAAATACATCTATACGTTTGCACTAGGTGTTCAATAAAAAAAACTTTTTCTTCTTTATCAACTCCTTACATAATTCACTATGGATTCTCTTCAAATTTTAGCAACACCCAATGGAAGAGTATTGAGAATTGTCCACAAAATTATGTTACATACCTACGGAAGTGTCAAAAATGTTATATAGAAATTTCATTAAGCCATAGCTTTCCTATTCCGCGTTCAATATGTTCCCAATTATGCAGATCTGTTTCATTCCATTGTAGCTTTAATTTAAAAACTACTTGACTTCAGCCTTCTTAAGCAGATCAACTTACTCTCTGCAACTCTCTGCAACTCTCTGCAACTCTGAAAACAGTCAATAACCTGAAAGAAAAAAAGAAAAGAAAAAAACAATTGCATTTCATAAAATACCAATATGAATATATTACACAAATAAATACAAATAGTGAGCCCTCATCCAATGCTTAAAGATACTATGTCCCTTTTGCAGCCAACATCAAATTCTGTAGAACTTTGCAGGAATTATGAATATGTCATGTATGTCCTATCTGTGAAATTTAAACATTAGCAGTGTCCTAATATTCAAATTATGCAAAGAACCCATTTACTTGCTAGACTAGCTTCACTGTCAGACACTATTGAGTGACTCACTGGCTTTTTTCTTCTTTGGTAATAACATACATGTACATAAAATGAGCTGTAAAGGGTATATGAGCATTTGTCAACATCAATATCCCACTTCTGCTTGTAATGGCCAAAATTAAACCGATTGAATCTTTGCGCAGCATAAAATGTACGACCCTTCGGTACAATGGTCTGAAAATAAGACCATTACTTACTGGCTCTATAGTTCTTAAGTCGATTCGACAACTAATAGTCGTTATTTTCCAACTTAAAGACATTTTCAAGCCCCCCTTTTTTAGGGTAGTTCTAAATTAGTATTATCTTTCAAATGCCATTGGAATGTAACCTTCTCATTTTGTTGGCCTGCAAATGGGACATAGTACCTTTAAAGGTAAAGACCAGTTTGGGTCATGCGATTGCATTGGGACGCTAAACATGTAAACAAAAATTAATGGCCTAACTCAAATCTTTTGGGACCCATAAAATAGCTTTGACTTAGACAAATTTTGATTTAGGAGGGTTATAAAATAATGGGACAAAACAGGATGGGCTACGTGTAGACGTTCAACCATAGCAATTTTTGACTTATCCAAGTTCAACTTAGGCAAGGTCACCTGTACTATATGTTTTGCATTGGACTAAAATCAAAATACATCTATACGTTTGCACTAGGTGTTCAATAAAAAAAAAAAAAATCTTCTTTATCAACTCCTTACATAATTCACTATGGATTCTCTTCAAATTTTGGCAACACCCAATGGAAGAGTATTGAGAATTGTCCACAAAATTATGTTACATACCTACGGAAGTGTCAAAAATGTTATACAGAAATTTCATTAAGCCATAGCTTTCCTATTCCGCGTTCAATTATGTTCCCAATTATGCAGATCTGTTTCATTCCATTGTAGCTTTAATTTAAAAACTACTTGACTTCAGCCTTCTTAAGCAGATCAACTTACTCTCTGCAACTCTCTGCAACTCTCTGCAACTCTGAAAACAGTCAATAACCTGAAAGAAAAAAAGAAAAGAAAAAAACAATTGCATTTCATAAAATACCAATATGAATATATTACACAAATAAATACAAATAGTGAGCCCTCATCCAATGCTTAAAGATACTATGTCCCTTTTGCAGCCAACATCAAATTCTGTAGAACTTTGCAGGAATTATGAATATGTCATGTATGTCCTATCTGTGAAATTTAAACATTAGCAGTGTCCTAATATTCAAATTATGCAAAGAACCCATTTACTTGCTAGACTAGCTTCACTGTCAGACACTATTGAGTGACTCACTGGCTTTTTTCTTCTTTGGTAATAACATACATGTACATAAAATGAGCTGTAAAGGGTATATGAGCATTTGTCAACATCAATATCCCACTTCTGCTTGTAATGGCCAAAATTAAACCGATTGAATCTTTGCGCAGCATAAAATGTACGACCCTTCGGTACAATGGTCTGAAAATAAGACCATTACTTACTGGCTCTATAGTTCTTAAGTCGATTCGACAACTAATAGTCGTTATTTTCCAACTTAAAGACATTTTCAAGCCCCCCTTTTTTAGGGTAGTTCTAAATTAGTATTATCTTTCAAATGCCATTGGAATGTAACCTTCTCATTTTGTTGGCCTGCAAATGGGACATAGTACCTTTAAAGGTAAAGACCAGTTTGGGTCATGCGATTGCATTGGGACGCTAAACATGTAAACAAAAATTAATGGCCTAACTCAAATCTTTTGGGACCCATAAAATAGCTTTGACTTAGACAAATTTTGATTTAGGAGGGTTATAAAATAATGGGACAAAACAGGATGGGCTACGTGTAGACGTTCAACCATAGCAATTTTTGACTTATCCAAGTTCAACTTAGGCAAGGTCACCTGTACTATATGTTTTGCATTGGACTAAAATCAAAATACATCTATACGTTTGCACTAGGTGTTCAATAAAAAAAAAAAAATCTTCTTTATCAACTCCTTACATAATTCACTATGGATTCTCTTCAAATTTTGGCAACACCCAATGGAAGAGTATTGAGAATTGTCCACAAAATTATGTTACATACCTACGGAAGTGTCAAAAATGTTATACAAAAATTTCATTAAGCCATAGCTTTCCTATTCCGCGTTCAATTATGTTCCCAATTATGCAGATCTGTTTCATTCCATTGTAGCTTTAATTTAAAAACTACTTGACTTCAGCCTTCTTAAGCAGATCAACTTACTCTCTGCAACTCTCTGCAACTCTCTGCAACTCTGAAAACAGTCAATAACCTGAAAGAAAAAAAGACAAGAAAAAAACAATTGCATTTCATAAAATACCAATATGAATATATTACACAAATAAATACAAATAGTGAGCCCTCATCCAATGCTTAAAGATACTATGTCCCTTTTGCAGCCAACATCAAATTCTGTAGAACTTTGCAGGAATTATAAATATGTCATGTATGTCCTATCTGTGAAATTTAAACATTAGCAGTGTCCTAATATTCAAATTATGCAAAGAACCCATTTACTTCCTAGACTAGCTTCACTGTCAGACACTATTGAGTGACTCACTGGCTTTTTTCTTCTTTGGTAATAACATACATGTACATAAAATGAGCTGTAAAGGCAGAGCTGCCAACCTCCAGAACAGAAAATCAGTAATCACAAGGCTCAAAATCAGTAATTTGGGGTATAAATCAGTAATTTCTTATGCGGCGCTATGAATCTAAAAAAACGACACGCCAACACTGCGCGGACGCATGATTATCTGAAATTTTTGGTGATTTTACTCACACAAAGATGTTAAGTATTGAATTTCAGGTCATCACAACACAGTTTATCATGAAAAATGGCTCCTATTCACAGCACTCGCTACGATAAATCATATTTAATTCATTAAAAAAAAAAAAAAAAAAAAAAAAAAAATCTTTTTTTTTTTTTTTTTTTTTTAAAATCCGTAATTTGAGACAACATTCCGTAATGGTCGTTAATTTCCGTACCAATTACGGAAAATCCGTACTAGTTGGCAGCTCTGTAAAGGGTATATGAGCATTTGTCAACATCAATATCCCACTTCTGCTTGTAATAGCCAAAATTAAACTGATTGAATCTTTGCGCAGCATAAAATGTACGACCATTCGGTACAATGGTCTGAAAATAAGACCATTACTTACTGGCTCTATAGTTCTTAAGTCGATTCGACAACTAATAGTCGTTATTTTCCAACTTAAAGACATTTTCAAGCCCCCCTTTTTTTAGGAAGTTCTAAATTAGTATTATCTTTCAAATGCCGTTGGAATGTAACCTTCTCATTTTGTTTGCCTGCAAATGGGACATAGTACCTTTAAAGGTAAAGACCAGTTTTGGTCATGCGATTGCATTGGGACGCTAAACATGTAAACAAAAATTAATGGCCTAACTGAAATCTTTTGGGACCCATAAAATAGCTTTGACTTAGACAAATTTTGATTTAGGAGGGTTATAAAATAATGGGACAAAACAGGATGGGCAACGTGTAGATGTTCAACCATAGCAATTTTTGACTTATCCAAGTTCGACTTAGGCAAGGTCACCTGTACTATATGTATTGCATTAGACTAAAATTAAAATACATCTATCATTTGCACTAGGTGTTTAAAAACAAACAAACTTTTTTGGAAACGTTGTGGAATCGATCACAAAAGGTTGATCATCTAGCATATACGGTAAGTATTGGTGTGTACTGAAAGGTTCTGGATCATCAAAATGATGAGAAATTTGACCCAGTCATGGTAAAGTTACAAGCACTGTACACAGAAAGATGTATATGGGACTATGCAACACATGCGCAATATCTATCCACTCCGGGTAGATATAATTTACCAAATATATCAATTAGTATCAAAATTTGTATCATCAGGTATTAGTCAAAACATATTCTTTCACATGATTGGTAATCAAAGGTACCATTTCATTTGTTGAGAGGGGGGCGTTTCCAAAACTGGTCTATACCTTTACTGACATAATTAAAAGTAACTTGGTAGTGTCAAAAAAGTTATATAGAAAATTTCTTAAAGCCATAGCTTTCGTATTCTGCATTCAATTGTTCCCAATTATGCGGATCTGTTTCATTCCGTCATAGCTTTAATTTAAAAACTACTTGACTTCAGCTTTTCTAAGCATATCAACTTACTTTCTGCAACTCTTGAACTCTCAGTAACCTAAAATACAAACAAAACAAAACAAAAAATTACATTTAATAAAATACCAATATGAATATATTACAATAAATACAAATAATGAGCCCTCATTCATAATGCTAAATGACATAAATACAACAAGTCAACGCAAAGCATAGCATCCCCTCGCAGGGTACATACTGGGAAATCAAACTTAGGTTTTGATGCCATGTACTTTCATATCAAATTTGATTAAAATCCGTCAAACATTACTAAAGTTATTGATATCAGAAACCAGATTCGCATATTTAATGAGCTATGACCTTTGACCTATATACTGGGAAATCAAACTTAGGCTGTGTTTTGAACTTTTGATGCCATGTACCTTCATATCAAATTTGATTAAAATCTGTCAAACATTACTAAAGTTATCGATTGGAAACCAGATTCGCATATTTAATGAGCTATGACCTTTGACCTACATACTCAGAAATTGAACTTATGCTGGGTTTTTATACTATGTAACTTCATATCGAATTTCATGAAAATCCATCAAATAATACTAAAGTTATCGAACAGAAACCAGATTCGCATATTTAATGAGCTATGACCTTTGACCTACATACTCCGAAATTGAACTTATGTTATGTTTTTATACCTTGTACCTTCATATTGAATTTCATGAAAATCCATCAAATATTACTAAAGTTATCGAACAGAAACCAGATTCGCATATTTAATGAGCTATGACCTTTGACCTACATACTCCAAAATTGAACTTATGCGGTGTTTTTATACCATTTACCTTCATATCAAATTTCATTAAAATTTGTCAAACATTACTAAAGTTATTGGCCCGTATTCTGAAGTCAGGTTTAACTTTAAACCTAGGTTTAAGTCTAGTCTAAGCCTCGCCTAACTCTCAGATTTAAACCTAGGTTTAATTTTGCGTTTCTGAAGTCAGGTTTAACTTAAACCTAGGTTTAAGCCTGGTCTAACTCTGTGGAAATTGTACACATATTTAAACCTGGGGTACACCTAGTTTAAGTCTGGCTTAAGTCAGGTCTAACTATTTGTTGGAAATTCAGAGGAGAAGAAGACACCATTAAAAGGCATTACGACGAATTATTGCAAATAATGAGACCGGAGAGACCTCTTGTGGAAAGAAAAGAACCTTTCATAATCATTGCGACGATGATTTTTTTGCATCGCTGTTGTTTTTTAAATACCAAACAAACAGCGATTTGCACTTACTCCAACAGTACAAGGTGACACACACATCGCTTGCGGATGAAAGTGGGCCTTGCGATTTTATGCCTTCGGCAAGTTTGAACATTAATTTGGATACTTCATTTGCTTATTGAATCTTTATGCCTAATATTTTCTAAGTCTTAAGATTTTATATTTTATATAAGATTGTGTGATTTGTATAGTACGACAATACTTGAAACTAAAAAGTTGCCAAAGTAAATCGACAACACGTATCACTTTGTTGCAGAGGAAAACAAATGTAGTAGGCCTAGCCCCATACCTTTAGTTTGACGTTATGCTCACGTAGTTTTGAAACTGTGAGTGCAATGCACATTTTTGAATTGGGTCCCAACGATGTAAACAAATGAAATGCGAGTTAAAATAAAACTGTAGGCTTTATAAGGTTGAATTAGAATTAAGAGTAAATTAATGAAGAGCTAAATCTATATTTATAAGACAATCATGGATTAGCATAATTAAGAGCCAACGAGTGTGTTAAGCCGGAACTCTAGACCTAGTAGAGTTTTGGGTAGAATCTAATCCTACAATTTCTGCCCTAGATCTAGACCTAGTCTAGACTCTAGACCGATTAGGCGCGCCAAGTCTATTAATATTAATGATGTCAAAACATCCATAACATCCTAAAGATGCCCCGAAAGATGCATATAGAGGTCTAGATCTAGATATCTAGATCTAGACCTAAATAAGATTAAAATGACTAAAAGAGAAATGATCACAAATACCTTCTTGATGCAGAATAACTAGTCCAAAGTCAACATTGAAGCTCATATAATATGGTCGAATTTCAAGCGTTTTTTTTTAGGACAATGCAATATTTCTAAACTGTGTGTACTTGAACGAATGAATGCGCGCACGATCGATGATGCGCGCACGGTGACCAAGAAGGAGATCGTGATACCCGAGGTATCCGATACCCGACACGTCGGTTCGAAAAAGGATTCCATTGTCCTAAAAAAAAACTAAAAATCAAACAAATGAGCTTCTGCAATGTTGACTTTGGACTAGTTATTTTGCATCAAGAAGGTATTTTTGATCGTTTTTAGTTTCTCTTTTAGTCATTTAAATCTTATTTAGAGCATTTGTATGATGTTCTGGAATTGTAGAATCCTGATTTTTGTATTTTACTATTATTTATTTTTCGTAAAGAACAATTCCACCTCGATTCAGACTTTTTCAGCAGTTTAACAATAAATCAAAGGGTAAAACAAAACAAAAAATCAGGTCATAACGTTCAATGGTTGCTTCGAAAGAGATTTGTTTGTGTCGAATATTTTAAATTGAAGTTATTAAATTTGCAGCACGAAATCCAGCTATAAAAAAGCCTATATCAGCTACCCTTGAAGATGGATGAGCTGTACTGAGCATGTGCAGTAGAAGCAGACTACATCTCCATGGTAGTTAAACCTTGGCTTAACTTTAAACCTGGGTTTTAGACTTAAACCTGGGTTTAACTAAACCTGGCTTTCAGAAACTGAAATGATACTTAGACCTGAAGTCTGGCTTAGTTAAACCCGGGTTTAAAGTTAAACCTAGGTTTAACTAAACCTGACTTCAGAATACGGGCCATTGATTTTAAACCAGATTTGTTACGGCACACACAAGGAAGGGCATCGACAGCATATTAATACAGGGGTCTAGACTAGATCCCCTCCGACTTCTTTGGCGACGGGATAATTATTATCCCATGACTTTTACAAGCCGATCGCCTGTCAGCTGTGACCTGTCTAATTATCAACTATCAAGATATTTATGATTGGAATTACAAATTAATAGTATCAAGTAAGTATCAAGTATCAAGTATCAAGTTTATTTGTCTTTCAGAAAACACATGTGACAAAATAACAGAACAATGTAGAATAGAGAAAGACGAGGAGACCTTGGTAATAATAATAGATCTAGACTAGATCTAGGTCTAGTCTAGATCTATGATCTAGGCCTAGATCTATAGTCAGATATAGATCTAGTATCTAGATCTAGGCCTAGATCCCTACGGTTTTTAATTTATAACACCGACTTAGATCTAGATCTATCATCTAGACTAGGTCTACTCTAGGTCTACGGTCTACACTCTACAGTCTATTGGGGGAAAACCGGTCACTCAAAGTCAAACTGAGTCAAAGATTTTCACTTTTTTGAAACACTTCCTTTTCGTTTTTCGTAGGGCTTCAAAATTCAATCACAATCACTCACTGAGCTGATGATATTACACGTAGATCTAGACCCTATAGGTCTAGGCCTACATGATGTAGGCCTATACATTGTACGTAAGATGTAGATCTATCGTTATCTCAGACTCGATTTGTAAAACTGCAAACATTATTATAATAGGTCTAAACAAAGTCAATGCCTTTAAAACTTTAATACACTCACACACTTAACGCAAAATCTCCAACAAACTAATAAGAAAGGATTCACGATAAAGTACAATAGCAACAACCGATTTCTTACCAAAGCTAAGCTAGCAATCAGCACAACAGCACAACTAAACAGCAGTAGGTAGGCCTACTCAGAAACTCATATGCATGAGTACGAGTGTGCATGCAATTCGAATCGGCCAAAATCTTGGTCAGATTAAATTCGCCCTACAGACAATTCGCCCAGTTTATTTCTCGCGCATATAATTTCTCACGAAATGCATGATTTTGCGTTTATATCTAAGGGAAAAGGAAAGTCAAAACAATGGATATCTGATACCTTGTCGTTTAGGCCATGTAAAAAGAATATACATGTTTAGCGTCCCCGCCCGCTTCCTTTTTGGGGGCCACCTCCTATTATTATTATTTTTATTTTTTTTATTTATTTATTTTTTTTTTAAAGAAAAAAAACATAAAAAACACTGCTAAAATGGATCTATTTCTGATTTAAAAAATAAAAAATAAAAATGTCGGCGGCCATCTTGAAAAGTAGCCCGACTGACAGGGAAAATGTACCGAGCGGCCATTTTGAGCGGCCATTTTGAAAGAAAAAAAAAGAACTTCCTATTTTTCCAAAAAACAGGACGCTAAACATGTTTTGTTTTTTTTTGGCCTTATTCCATTGCTACTTAATTTTCTCTAGCTCTTTCCGTTGCCTAGCTTTGGCTAGCTTTGTATTCTTATTTCACGTACGTATACCATCATTTCCTTATATCCTCCCGCTATCCTCTCTCCTTCCAAGTGTATGCATTATGCGTGTATTCTCTATGGGACATGACTTTTTCTGAAAACTGGATTCTACATTTCCGTCTTTCACGAGCAATATCTCCGTCGTCTTAGCTTCGTTTTCGCTGAGCATCGAGTATGTTGTAGCTGAGACAATAAGCTATCACAAATGTGACATTTATTTCTCGATCAGATGCTAAGATCATGCTCATATTTCAGACCACCTTAATCGTACTCAAAACTTGAACCGTCCAATTTCTTTCAAATTTAACACAGTCATAGGTCATCATCTTAAGACGTGACAGGAACATTTTCAAGTTCATCAAAATATCATGACGGCATCCAGGCGCCATTTTGTGAAGTGCTCTGAGAATCAACTCATGATCATATCTTCATAACCGTAAATCATTTCTCATTCATATTTATAACGAATATGGTCAATATCCGTCCGGTCAACTTAAGGTCAATTAACGCGCGCGTACGCGTCCGTCCGCGCGTCGGTGCGCGCAAAAATAAAAAAATGCTCATAATCACTTTTTGATCAAATTAGAGTACGTTTTAGGCCATTTCAAGCATTTCGAGAATTTTGCGTGCGCACACCTTTCCACGCGCATAAATTTGCGCGCACGTTTTTGTTCGTAATGGTCGAACGCAACCTAAAAACGCCATTTGTTGTCTTACATAGTATTGCCCATTTTTTCCGAACAATTTGATACCATGTTTATCTCTTTATGACCATGAATAACGAAATGAGCGTCCGTTCAAGGTAAATGTCTGTGCGCGTGGGAGCTCTTTTAATACATAGCATATGGGCAAAAACATGCCTATACGAAATACATTATTAACCGTATAGAACAATTAAATGTTATTGCTCGATCTGAAAAGTCAACGGCAAAATGCGTGGGAAAGTAGTGAGCAATAATCGAGGCAGTTGTACATTTCATCGCGCACCAGCTGCTGGTAACCATGACAATGTATATTACGCATATAACAAAATGCGCACTATGAGCGAACTCCATTGTGACGTAACAATCACACCCTAGGCATACTGTTTGCAGTGTATCTCTGTAAATGTTGATCAATTTTCTTCCAAATTTTGATATGTTTTAGCTGAGACAATTTTCAACAAATGCCGTCGCCACGATTTTTCATTTTGACAAAAGCATCATGGCGTATTTTTGCGATTAAAGGAGGCATGTCAATTTTTCACATTTTGCGTATATTCTCTATGGGACATCACTTTTTCTCAAATCTGGATTCTACATTCCTGTCTTTTGCGAGCAATATCGCCGTTTTTTGCGCTTGGTTTTTGTTGATTTTTGAGTATATTGTAGCTGAGACTATATATGCTATCTAAATATTTCCTCACTTTTTTCAATCAGATGTCAGGATCACGCTTATGATCATGATCATCATCATCATAATGATGATAATCATCCCCATCAAAATCTTCATGATCATGATTATCATCATCATTATCATTATTATCATTGTCATCATCATCACCATTATCATCATCATTATCATAATGATGATAATCATCCTCATCAACATCATCATGATCATGATTATCATTATCATGATTATCATTATCGTCATCATGACAATAATGATAATCATGATTAAGTAGTTTATTTTTAATACTTTGTGTCATATTCATTAGGCCTACTTATTTTGATATTTGTTTGCATTAAATTTGATCATGATCATTATGAATCATGATAATTTCTCAATATTTCGTTCATCAGTTCAGCTCATCAGTTTAGTTCAGTTCATCAGTTCATCCGTTTAGCTCATCAATTCAGTTCATTTCACGACAGTTCAATCTATCACTTCATCAGTTCATTAGTACTTCATTCATCAATTCATATCTCAATACATCATTTTACATTAACATCATTTTATTGGGTAATTGAATTCAAGATGAACATGATCATAAGAATTGAAGACAGACCACCTAATTCGTCCCCATGACGAATTAAATTTCTAGTTTATTAGGTGGTCTGTCAACGACAGATCACCTATTGTTTTCGTCAGAATTTTCTTTCTTTATTTATTTATTAGGTGGTCTGTCGATGACAGATCACCTATTGATTTCGTTAGAATTTTCTTTCTTTATTCTTTATTCTTTATTCTTTATTCTTTATTTATTTTTATTTATTCCGTACACTTTTTTTGTGTATACGTTTACTCGAACTCGACCTGGTCAATTTCCTTCAAATTTCTGCTAGTCATCAGGCCCTATGATATGAAGTTCCCGAAACCTTTTTCAAGTTCATGGGGTCATCGTGACGTCATCCAGGCGCCATTTTGTAAAAATCAGGTCATTATCATATCTCAATAACGAGTAATCAAAAATAAACCATATTTAGTATACATCAACTTCCGGTCAAAGGTCAACTAAAAATGTCAACAAAATCCGTGCGCGCACCTCGACGCGCACGTACGCCCGCTTAAAATTTTTAAAATGCTCCAATTCGTCCCAAATTTTGTTTGCACACGTTTCAGGTCATTTTAAGCATTTCAAAATTTTCCGTCCGTAAGTGTCCCCGCGCGCGTTGCGCGCGCTCACAGCGCGCGTAAAAAGTCAAATTTAATTTTTTTTACATGATTTAGATTCCTCTTACCGTAAATGACAATTTACATTAATTTCAGTCACTCTTGACCTTTCATAAGGCCGTGAGCGCGCGTCAAAGTTCAAAATCCGCGCGTGCTGCTATGGGCAATATAATGCAAATTTGATCAAAAACATGCCATTTTAAAAATGAAAATAGCTCTTCAGATAGTCCATTGACCCCCAATTTTTATATCATGGTTGGAAAAAGCATGAGTTGGAGATATGAATTCATGTCTCATTTGATCCTCAATTAACTCATGACGTCATCATAATGGCCTCCGAACTCAAAATTTCAATTTGCATATTATGACGTCAGCAGATTTTTGAAAAATTGATTGTATCTCTGTAAATATTGATCAATTTTCTTTCAAATTTTGATATGTTCTACCTGAGAATATTCTCTACAAAGGCAGTTGACACAATATTTCATTTTGACAATGGTATCATGGCGTATTTTTGCGATTAAAGGAGGCATGTCAATTTTTCACATTTTGCGTGTATTCTCTATGGGACATGATTTTTTCTCAAAACTGTATTCTACATTCTCGTATTTTGCGAGCAATATCTCCGTATTGTTATCTTCGTTTACGCTGAGCTTTGAGTATGTTTTAGCTGAGACAATAAGCTATCACAAGTGTGCCCTTTATTTTTCGATCAGATGCCGGGATCATGCTCATATTTCACTTACAAAGTGGGATTTGATAATTCCATTTTCCGTTTACGTGTAATCTCTATGGGAAATGTTTTGGTATATCGGTAACGCACTTGACTTCAGACCTCAAGGTCCCTGGTTCGAGTCCGGGCGTCTGCAACAATTTTTTTTCTTCACTTTTTTTTCTTTTTGACCTTTCACTCTACCATCTCCTTTGAATATTAAAACACGTACAATCGCAAATAATGTAATAAACAACCATATTTACTTTATTATTACCCTATTATCACTAGATCCATTACTTTTTGCGTGTAATCCTTATGGGAGATGACTTTTTCTCAAACCTGGATTCTACATTCTTGTCTTTTGCGAGCAATATCGCCGTTATTTCGGCTTGATTTTTGTTGATTTTTGAGTATGTTGTAGCTGAGACTATATACGATCTAAATGTTCTCTCATTTTTTTCAGTCTAATGTCATCGTGGTCTGTTGATGATAATCATCAACATCATCATGATCATCGTCATCATCATAGTCGTCATCACCATTACTATCAAGATCATCATCATCATGATCATCATGATGATCATCATTGTTTACATGTCTATATAACTTCCCCCTTTCTCAATATAGTAAATATTATAATCTATCATAAGACTTGAAGACAGACCACCTAATTCGTCCCCATGACGAATTAAATTTCTAGTTATTATTATTCTTTATTTTTATTTATTTCTTCACACTTTTTTGTTCACAGGATAACTCAAGATCGGTTCAATCAATTTCCTTCAATTTTGGCACAGTCATAGGCCATTTTCATGAGACGTGACAGTAATATTTTCAAGGTCATCAAATTTTCATGACGTCATCCAGGCGCCATTTTGTGTTTTTTTTGGTACTTTTTACTCATGATCATATCTTCATAACGGAAAGGCATTTCTCATTCATATTCATCATGATTAAGGTCAATATCCGTCCGGCCAATTTCAGGTAAAAAAACGCGCGCGCATGCGTACGTCCGCGCGTCAGCGCGCGCGCAAAAATTAAAAATGCTCCAAATCGTCTCAAATGAATTTTGCATACG